CAATGCAAAAAAAATTTTAAGAAAATATTTGTTTACTTTATAATTTTGATTGAGTGTGCATAATTTGACTTTGGCTGTCGTGCTGTCCGCTACTATATAAATATCATAATAAATGCATTTATATTATATATAGTATACATAATAAATAAAGCCGATGAATCATGTGAGGAACACGAAGAAAACGCAACTAATGACGGCAATCTCTTTGCAAATACAAATCTCATGCAAGTCTTAATCGAACTAAGCTAACTGCTAAGAGTGGACTTTAACTCTTATGCACATAGAGCGCTTTATAATTGAAATTGAGTTTAATTATAAATTAATTTAATAAATTAATAAATATCTTAAAATACGCGGGATTCACGCTTAAATTATAACAAAATGAATTCTCATTTAAAAATATAAATTATAAATATTTATAAAAACTTGTCTCATAAAACTATTCAATTCACTAAACTATTGCAAAAACCAATTAAGTTTACTTTGAATTACTTTCCTATTTATTTCATAATAATTTTCAGCTACCAGGAAACTTCTAAGTTTAACTACTTAGACATTTAATTAGCTGAGTTAATCCTGCAGTTCACAGCCTTTGCTGCACCCCGGCAGGCTTAGAGGCAAAGCTGCCCAAAGGAACTGAAGCTAGTTGCAGGAGTCGTTGCTCGCAGCATATTTGATAACCCGACTAAATATACTTTTAATTATGATTTCACGTTAATAATTATGACCTAAGCGAGTTGCAAGTTGCAGTTGGCTGGCGTTGGTTTTGTTACTGTTGTGTTATGCCTACAACTGCTAGAACAACAACTAATTGTGGCCATATCCTACGATACCCAGCGGAGTTGTATGCTTTAAATTAATAATTGCGACGGAGAAAAGGAGCTGGCGACTTTCAGGCGCGTCGCCGCGTTTGCATGTGCCTGCAGAACGCGAGTGAAAAAATAATTAATGCACTTAATGTGTAATTATTTCAATTAAACGGACCCGAGTTAGCGTACGTCAGCGGGTCCTGGTCGTCCGTATCGTTCCATTCCGTTTAATTGCCCATCTGGCATGGCTTCTGGGTGGGCGGCGGTGGGACGGGGGCGTTGGTTTGCCTGGATATTAAGGTCGGCCTAATTGGCATTGGCTTGGACTGGACGGGGCTGAGCTTATGGCTCGCTCTACTCTACTCCCCCTCTCAAGCGATCGTCGATACCGCGAGCGTCCCCATATGGGGTACCGGCAAAGAGTGCAGCTACCACATCAATCAGCCAGATCAGCTAAATGGTATGCCGGGGCAACCGGTTTTTTTTCTGCTGGCTGCCTAACAATTTGACTTAATTATAAAATGTCGTGCGACTGTCATTACAATAAATTTTATTTAGTCAAAGTTGTAAATTGCCAGTCGAACCAAAAGCCGATGTTGGACAAAAAAGTCTTTTTGGGGCTGCCCCTAATCGCAATATATAAATTAATGTGGACGCGCGCAATCGCCACTATTATGTTGCCAGACACTTAGCTGCGCAACATGTTGCCGAGGTGTGAATGCAAATGCCTCAGCAGCTGATTAGAGCTGGAAATGTGAGCGCGTGAGAATGTCGTGGCCTTGCCAACTGGACTTGTAAACATTGTCTCTAAACATTTGACTTTCAATAGTCAATCAATTTTGTTAGCTAATTTATTTAAATACATTTTTTTTATTAAAAGCTCTTATTACCAAGAACTTAAACAGAATATCTTTTAATTTATATAATGTTTTTTTATTCACTTAATTTTTTGTTTGCTGTTTTTCCATTTGCTTACGATCACGCTGCCAGCTCTAGCACAGCTTGGCAACATGCTGACGATTTGCTTAGCAACATGTTGCTGCAGCAACATTTAATTGTTGCATCGCATGGCAGCTATTGGCACAGCAGCTTATTCTCCTGTTTTCTGCCTGCAATTATTGTGCGATTAGAAAGTTTGCCGCTGCCGCATATTGATATACAAATGCCGCCTAAAAAAGTTTCCACAGAAACACATATAGTTTTGCATGTGGAAATGACGTTGCCGCCGCTTTCCAAGTGGGTTAATGGCATATTTATTTATCACCGCCATTTGTTGCGACTTTCCAAGCGTGCCGCACTCACGTGCTTAGTTCGCCCCATTTCGTACTCATTATAGTCCTATGCTCTCTTTCTCTCTCGGCACAGCTCTGCGCTGTAGCAGGCGCACAGCAAATGCCAGCGGAGCATGGGCAACCGCCACTCACATGAACCACTCAAACTGAGAGTAGGCATATATATATATATATATATACATATATTATATATATGTATGTATATAAGAGAACTTGTACTTTGGCAATTCTTGGCGGCTAAGAAAATTCCCATAGGCGGATGTATGTGTGCGTGTGTGTGGTTGAGTGGGTTGACTGACAGCTGCTTAACTAAGGGTTTGATTGAAGTTGCTTAAGTGTGTGTGTCTAATAAGATTTGCTCAGCAACAATGAATGTTTGGCAACATTTGAGTGCGTCCAGCATGATTGTATAGGAAAATCATTTCATATCTTCACATATTTCCTTAAGCCATTTAGAGTTAATTTGCGTAGTCTTTAAGCATTAAAGACTTTTCTTATGTCCAACAAATTAGCCGCATAGAAGAGAAAACTGCTTACATTAAATTTACATGTTTGTCGGAAAATCTGCGCACACAAGAGAGACAACATTCACACCTCACGTGCCTTAGACTGGACATATTCAATTTGATTACGTTATGTCCGGCAGCTATTTTAGATTTGATTTTCGCACACATTTTGTGCTGAGCTCGAGTGAGAGCGAGAGCTCTCTGCTGGACTCCTTGTCGCCTCGAGTATTTTTCATATTTTAATTTAAATTAGTGGATGGAGTGCAGAGAGAGAGGGAAAGAGAGGGGTAATACGCTCACTCTGACACTCCTGTTCATAGAGATGCTAGCACTCGGCAACAGACAGCGCAGATATAACTCATTCAGACTGCGCCTCATCCCCACTCGGCGACTCATTCTGAGCTTAACGCGCTGATGTATGCTAATGAGCCGCATTGTGCCGGGTCCGGGAGTCGAGTCTCTAACTGAGGGCCGGTCCATAAATATGCATAATGCAATTAACAACCAAATGTAATTGCGAGCAAGAAATGAATAAAAAAAGGAACGAAATGCAGAGAAAAAAGTGTACAAAATAAAGTAGAAACTCTTTGGCCAGTGCACAGTGACAAACCACCCGCCTGACAGTGACAGTGACTGCCTGCAACACACTGACTGCGACTCGTCAGCTGTCACCTAGCGCCAGCAGCAGCTGAGACTGGCTGCCGGCGCATTTTTTGCATGTGCTGTACAACTTTCCAGGCTCTCAACCTGTTCCAGCGCACATTTTAATTAGGCTATTAAACAATTGCAGAACGCATGTTAGCTGCCTTTCCGAAACTGCAAACCAGTTTTCGTAGCATGCCTTGGCCACTTGGCTCGCAGTTCCGTCTCAAATGGCTGCGAATCTGTGCCAAATTTCGCATAGGAAAATACGGCAACAATTCACAGCCAAAAATAACAAAAAAAAAAAAAAATATACGAAAAGGCGAATAAACCGTTGCGTGCCTAAGCCTGGCCAACAGCTTGAGATTTCTGTCCACGTCGTCGTCGCTGTCTCAGTCCTTGTCTCTGTCTCCGTCTCCGTCTCAGTCTGTCTTCGGCTGTCTGTAAGGCTTTTCGGCCAGTTGGCTTAGGCTGATTGGGCGCGCGCGCGCCTTTGCCTTGTTTTGCATTTCTCTGCAAGACTTTTGTCTCTTTTGGCTGCGTAATAAAACGTATTTTAATTTGGCTAAATGTTCAATTAAATCTAAACATGCGCAGTTTGTTGTTATCCGCTTGTTGTGCAACGTCGATGCGTAGAATGCCAGCTAAGTAACCAATATAGTCGCCAAGCTATGTATCAATTATCGTTTATAGTTCGATAGAGAATCGATTCGTGCAGCTAAACTCTTTCGGCGCTCAAATCTAAAGGATGCACTGATCTAAGCATTCAGACTTTTGACAGCTTATCGAAATGAGCATGAAATCAGATTTCTATTGTACGTGGAATTCCAGTTTAATTTGGGTGGATCAAGCAAGTGTAACGATTTCACATACATATACATAATTCGTAGACATTTAGAAACGGCAAACATAAAATTTAGTAGAAAATCTACAAAATCTTTCGTAGTTTTGAATAACTGATAAGCAGCTGGCTGAAGAACGATTGGGAGTGGATCATCGTGTTTCAATGGCTGCTACCCCCATTTTGGCAACAATCTGTGCGGAGCGGTTGACCAAGTTTCTGACACGCTACTCGAAGGTACATACAGGGCTATTGCGCTGCAGCTATCCGGTGGAAGCAGCTAAGGCTAAAAGCGCACCACCAACGACTGTGCGAGTGGTGCCCGTGGAGCGCAAGTTCTCGTTATGGCAATCGTCGGAGCAGCAATATCAAGTGCCTTCACGGTATACGCCATTTAAGCCCATCTTTAGCTTCGCCCAAGGGCGGGACAATACGCAAAGCCGAGAATCGAACTTAAGTGCGGGACCCAAAGTTTCCAGCGTGTCAGAATCGATGCTGTCGGGTGCCTCGCGCAGAATCATAGCTGACTATATTGGGTTGAACTCACCGAAAAGCCCGCTCACTTCATGTTGTCGAGGCCAGCCACGACTGGACCAATCGGTGGCCCAATCGAAGGCTCGTTATAAGGCCCTAGCCAACTACGCCAATAGTCTTCTTAATTCGAAAACACAGGAAAACTTTTAATTGTGTCGTACTTAATTTATGTTATCCGGCAGCGTGAGCCTTCTTCCACCTTCGGCTGTAGTCACATCACAAAAGAATTTGGTCTATTGTATATAAACAACAGTCGACTGTGGTAGAAGGATCTCGCTGCTATACATTTAAAAAAAATATATATATTTCATCTAAGATTTTACTGTTGACTTTTCGAACACCTCGAGTCAAGTAGGCACTGTGAAGTGGATTTGTGATACGACTCTCAGCAGCGTTCTGACTTCACTTTCTCTGGGACAACTTCAAAATTCCAAATGAAACTTTAATAGCATTTTTCTTAATATTTTATTCGACTAAGTGAGCTTTCACTATGCTTAAGAAGCTGGTCATCGGTTCGTCAAAGAAATTTGGCACAATCCATCTACCAAAGGCCAAATTGCACGCCTGTAAGGGCTTATGCAGAAAGGACGACAGGCGCTTGCCAGAGGATCTTTCGACGGCGAAAGAAGATAAATGCGTAACGATTGAGAAGCGCAAGTGTAGTCAAGCAAAGGGTCCCTGTGAGCAGGAGGACGGTCCATCTGCTCCTCGCTACTCTTGTTCCGTGAATAAGCGAATTAAGAAGTCCTCCTGTGAGACCCCAGACGAGGGTGGCGAATCCAAACATAAGTCCGATGAGTTCAGATCCATGTGGAAGGAACCAGCCAACAAAAGCAAGGAACAGTTAGCGCTGTGGACCTTTCCACCCGAGTGCTGCCCGACTTGTGAAAATACGCCCTTCGATGTGTTGTACTATCGGCCATCAAAAAAGTGCCGCCCATACCAACGCACCTGGTGGGAGTGCTGTCCCCGAATGGTACCCAAACGGGTCTGCTGCTGGGGTGATGCCATTCCGCCCGAAACTGAGCGTCGTTGTCGATCCTCGTCTATTCAGACCCCCTGTTCAGCTGGTAAAGACAAAGGACGCAAGAAATGCAATGAAAGAGGCCAAGACTGTCCACGGCTAACGCTCGCTTGTTGCAGAGCAGCCCGCGTGCCGCCAAGCTGTCTTATAAAACGAAGCCCGAAGGATTGCGCGAAGCCCAAGTGTCCCTATCCCAGCTTTTCGGAGTGCAAGCCAATAGACCTGGCTGTGATACCCGGCCGCGCTCCAGAATGCCGTTGCAAAAACTTGATGTCGATATGCGATTCCGTTCGCGTTGACCACAGAAAAGATGAGATCGGCTCAAAATTCTGCGATTGCCCCACCTGCAAATAGACTAAGTCTATTTTAACTACAGTGTACAATTTACTATCCGGTGTAAAATATGCAATATAGTTTCAAAGGACTTTCTCTACTGCTAAGTCCGGTGATACGCACATGTGTGATCCAAAATATATAAGTCAAATACAAATACAATTTCATCCTTGCTTAATTCATTCACGAATTGTTTGAGGTTCTTATCTATCTATATTTAAGACTTCAGTTTCGATTTACCTTTTTGCTTGTATATAGGTATTTCACAATTGTTCTTATTTATACTGACTGTTCAGGAGTATTTTTCTCTTCTGTCTTAGGAGATTTTGTGCCTAATCGAAGCAGCCTCTGGTAGCTGAATATATTAAAACATGATTTTTTGATTGCTTTTTATTATATGAGTTGGCTTCACTTTCAATAATTCTTTTGGGCAATTTCCAAATTTTTTTGTTAACAAAATTGTTGTACGAATAAACGAGTAACTAACAGCCGCTGCGATGTCCTGCCGTATACCTGGGATTGCTCATTGCATGCACTATATGAGTCGTTGCAATCTAGCCCCATCTTCGTGGATGCCCATGATATGGTGTGTGTCCTGCGAACACACCCATTTGAGAGATGAGCTAGTGTGTGACGCAGATGGTAGGTCGAATTACGTGGCGCCACGAGAACAGATTGGGTCCACTAGGTACATTGGTACTTCAGTTGAAATACCAATTAAAAAAAATAGCAGTAAAATATGTCCGAATTGTAACGACAATGATCGAAGCGCTGAATTAGACCCACCTATTAAAAGTAAGCTTTTAAAAGACGGTGATTGTCAGATTGCCCAAAACGAATTCAGTAACGCTCGCAGCGAAGAAAGCCTGGATGGGGAGCTAACGCGAAAAATCAAGTCTATAATTGGGATCTGTGAGCACGCAGATATCACCAAGGCAAACCTTAATTTATTTGCGGAAGTCGACTTTGATGAGCCAACCAAAATAACAAAAAATTTACATCTCAACGCTAATTTTGGCAAATTCGTGGATGGAAATTCCTTCCGACAAAAAAGCGACGTACCTCTGGATAATTTGTCTACGATTCAAAACGAAAACCCATTTGAGAAAACCTGTGATGCCCTGGACCCTGGCTCCCAGCTAACGAAAGGCTCTGACGCCTTGGACGTTAGCTCCCAGCAAACGACAAGCAGTAACGAGTTCACTGAGGCGTCCCGTCGCATTGGCGAACTTCATACCGCCATGCTGAAGGTTATGCATCATAGTGAAAGATTAGAACATTTAGAAAATGAGTTTCGAGCTCTGTCGCTGAACAAAAACAATGATTCAAAAAACAACTCCAAGCCGATTCCCCGCAAAAAAAGAAATTATGATGTCATACCCGCCTATAAGCCGTTTCAGACTATTGAAGTGCCTGCCACAGGTGCCGAAGTGAATGAAAAGCGTGGATTACAAACGGATGGGGTTGACAAACCACATACGTCAAAAGTCGACGTAAGCAGTGATGACAATCTGGACGTTAGCAGTGCTGCCAATCTAGCGGTTAGAAGTGCTGCCAATCTCAATGCAAGCAGCAAAACACAGATAAACATAAGCAGTGACAGTTTAGGGAGAACCGTCATTGACACCACAATGGATGATAAGCATTCGAGGCAAATAATGCGGTATGCGCTTCTACGTGCACTGCAGAGACTGGAGGATGGAACTGGTTATTTTTCAGCTAAAATTATTATCACAGAGCCTTAAAATATGTCATCAATATACACGAAACTGATTTTAGATTGTCTTCTTAATTTTTATTAAAATCGACATTCAGAAAGGAATAAATAAATATTGACTGTTGCAATTCTTGATTTGTACCATGATATCATCAAGGTCAAGATCAGGTCTGTCCGGCTGTAAGGCTTTGACGACTCCTGCACTAGCCAGTTAACAGCTCTGGTGCAGATTGACGATGATGGACCGTGCGGTCAGAAATCATACATTAATCTAGGCCGTAGCTATACTAGCAGTAGGAATCCTTGATGCCAAACACTTTGCGTCTTCGTTGTAGATGGAAGGCTTCGCAAATTGAAATTTTTCGTACGGGGCATTCGAAACGGCTTCGCGGTTTGTCGTGCCTATGTAGATCTGAATAACATGGAAGGGGAGGCCGCAACCTTCTGCAGATCTCCTTTTTTCTTGTGCGACGACAGTCGCTGGTGCCGCGCACTGCCTTGCAGCAAGGCAATTGAATCTTGCTGCATTTTGCTGTCGGGTCAATATCCCTGTTGTAATAGATGTGACGCATGCGCGAGTAGTCGAACCTGCAGGCTACCGAAGGACACTTCACTTTGACACGCTTCTCCACCTCCGGTGGCTGAATGCCATCCAGGCAGCAAACCTTCTTAAAGCGTTCCCTCACTGGCGGACATTCAAGCCACGTACGCTGATATAATTTAGACTTGTTCGACGGCTTGTAGTATATTGCATCAAAGCGGGGCAACATGTCCTTGCAGTATGCCTCATATGGACGAAAGGGTGGCTCCCACATGGATTTATGTGGCGGCTTCTTCTCTTCTCGCTTGCGCTTCCTAGAGCTAGACGAACAGGGCTCCGTGGCCGCAGATCGCAGAACACAGCATGGCATCTCTAGTAGGTTCTCCTGCTTCTGCCTCTTAATATCCTTCATGTTCTTGTTGAAGGGCAGCACGTACTTGAAAGCATTGCGTGCTGACTCACAATTGTCGTCTACGGGGTGGCAATGCGGATCATTGCTTTGGGAGGGTGGCAGCTTCCTACTGGAAAAGTAACGCAGCCTTTGTAAGTAGTTGCAAGCGGATCTAAAGCTGTCTGCGGACAACAGACGAAACGTTTTGAAATTTAGTGCCATGACCGAGTTGAAATTTTGAAACAATTACAAAAGCCTTTATGAAGGAAAACATCTATGCTGATCGAATAAGCTGTCCAATGCCCCGGTTTGTCATTCAGTACAAAGGGCGTGCACGATGTTTGTATGGGCAGTTGCTAATTACTGCTCGGGTGCAGACTTTAATGGCCCCCGAGTTGCGATGATATTGCCTCCACACATCGCATAGGCTAGGCATGTACTTGCAGGCGCACTCGGTGTCACAGTAGCGTAGAATGTAGCCCTGATTGCACTCGGAGAAGCTTGGAAATGGCGCTGTTACCTTCTCGCACGGCTTTAGCTCCTTGTGAACTCGGCATTTCAGATCTGACTTGGAGAAGGTCTGACTCCCTTTGCATAACAATTCCATAGAGTATGTAAATTTTTCTACCGGCGACAATGGCGGACGCGGTGGCTTCCTTGGGCGTCGTTCAGCTGGCATATAAATCTCCTGCTCTGGACAGCAGATCTTTCGGGGTCGCAGCCAAATGAGCGGACATTCGGCCCAAGTGCGTTGATATCGACGCGTCTTGTCCGACGGCTCATAGTGGCATACGTCGTGCTTGTACAGCTTGCATTTATCCTCTGCACTTCGAAAGAGTCTAAGCAACTGCATTGGATATTCTTGCGACAACGGACTTACTTTTTCAACACAGTTATTCGGCAATCTATTCGGCAATCTATTCGGCTTGCATATCAATTTTTGTTCAAAGCATTTTTGCATTTCTTCGTCGCGTATCTTGCAACATTTGCCTGGTTCGACGTCATAGCGTACCGAGTGGGCGCTACGTTTAAAAAATAAACCCATGCTTCTGGCCATTGCGGTAGAGCTCCACTTTAACAAAGATGTTAGTTTGGGGCAGACATACATTGCTTTTGTTTTAGAATTTTGAATAATTTGCGGAATGTCAAACGAACAATAAACAGAATGTTAGGAAACCAAATTGAGCCTGCTGCCGGATTATCTATTCGTGGAGCAGCTGCTTGCTAAGAGAAGAGTTCTATAACAGGGCTATGCAGGTTACATAGCCAATTCAAATACGGCTTACAACAGCCATTCGGCAATAGATTCATTCTAAGCTTAAGCAGCCCAAGATATGCTATTGGAAATCGCTTTCGATGGGCTTCCCCGTAATCTATGCTCTTTCATTCATACAAAACAAGAAATGTTAAGTCTCCAAATTTTTTTTTATTTAAGTGTCTCTGCCTGTTTACCATATATAAATAGGCAAGGTTTCGAGCAGACACAAAATAATATGTCTTCACCATAATTTTTTTATACGCGCATATATATATCTTATATATATATTTACTTATTTATATATTTGTGTAGGCAGGCCTAGGATTTTTTGTTTCGATAATACTCCCAAACACTGCACATTGAGGGAGTCTTCAGACAGTTGCATTCAATTGGCGGAGCTGTCGGCAGAGGATCCATAAGGCATTCGGAAAATGCGGGATACTTCGTTAGGCGTTTGCGACAGTCTTTTGGCTTCCTGAAACCCACAGAGCATGATGGTGGAACACGGGACGGCTTGCAGAAGGGCATTGTGACGCGTGGACAGGTCGTCTTTTTAGCAGTGGAGCAATGGGCTAAAGTTAAATCCGGAGCGCCCAGGGTGCATGGATTGCGCTGGCACATCGAATTTTGACGAGACGGGATGTCCTTCTTCTCGCGGCGTTTGGTTGGAACTGGTTTCCAAGAGCACAACATCTTAACCTTACGCCGTTTCAGCACACACTTAATCCACGTGCGCGGGTATTTGCGCAAAAGCTTATCCGATGGTCGGTAGTGCTTTAAGTCCGCGCGAGGAACATCCCATGCGCAGGGATCTTGCAGACACTTCTTCCTCGCATCAACGAACGTGTCGACCATAAACTCTGGATCAGTGCGACACTTGTACTCTGTCCTGCGCAAAGACTGCCAACAGGGGTCTTTGGATAGGAAGGGATCAGTTTTTTCAAGCTTCTTCAAGTCTTCACGCGCTGGAGCTATGCGATACGATTCCACGCACTCCTCACATGACTCTGCGCCGTACAAGGTGTCTAGGCATCGCTTAGATAAGCGAGTTGACCCAAAGACCTGTTGGTTATACTGCTTCCCACACTTCTGTAAAACAGCCAGAGACATTCGAGCATAGTTATTCCGTACAGACTGCATTGCAAGCCTTCTAAATTTTTACACAAAAACTGGTCAGTGAAATTTAGTGCCCAAAGTAAGAATCTAAAGCCGAAAAAAAAAATTTAATTTAGAATTTAGAAATTACTGAGCGACTTTCATGATTTCGACTTCCTGAATGTAACCCTCTGAAAACCCAAATTTTGACTGACGATATATGCTTCGAAGGCAGCCTACATCCATCCATTTGCTTAAAATCGAAATCAAGGCCAACTTTGATTTTTGTTTTTTGTAACGAGACTTGTAATTTTTCTATGCCCTCAGAAGGCGTGGATAAATCATTTACTCGACAGAAATATAAGTATCAGCATTCGTTGCTTGCGCTGCGAAACAGGGTACATACAGGGTATTTCCCAGGTGTTGTTCATGAAAGCTTATGCGCAATTTTTCTGGTCTGTAGCACTTTTTATACCCTGATCCCATTAAAAATGGGAAATCAGGGTATAATGGTTTTATGCAAATGTATGTAACAGGCAGAAGGAGGCGTGGCAGACCCCATAAAGTATATATATTCTTGATCAGGACGACAAGCCGAGTCGATTGAGCCCTGACTGTCTGTCTGTCTGTCCGTCCGTATGTGCGAACGGCTGGATCTCAGCATCTATAAGAGCTGGAGACTTGAAGGTCCGTGTTGAAGGTTTTGTAGGTTCGTGTATAGCACGCGCAGGTCAAGATTGTTTCAAATATTCGATAACTATTCTCATTTAAATGTTATCGAAGAAAAACATTATTGAAATGCAGTAAATAAATTATTTTGTATTTAGTTTTATGTATATTTTATGCAATTTTGATTTTTGTTGAATTTTGGATACCGGCTCCAAATTTCCCTAAATTCTTAAAATTTAAGTTTAGTTGCAACTAGGGCCATTATGTGAAATCGTTTGCATTTGCAAGCCATTGCAAGCCAATAGGATATGTAGATCATATGCTGAAAATTTCAATAAAATCCATTAAGTAAAACAGAAGTTATTAAACAAAATTTGCAAAAGCACTCATACATTCAAATGCGTGTATTCTTTTCTATTCGAAGAATCGAAATTGCGATTGACTTGTGCTGAATTGTTAGCTGCTACTTAACTTCAAACTTGCAATCACTTTAAAAAGCAATGTAGTGGCTGCGTTGGTAGAGGCGGCGCACGTTAGTGTTTAGTTCCGGGTTCAATTCTCGCGGCGTCGAGGTTTTTTTATTCTTTTTTTTTTAATTTTGAAGTGGCGGTGTTGGTTGAGTTGGTGCACGTTGCGCAAACAGTCCGAGTTCGAAACCTGGTCTTGCAATGTTGTTTTTATTTGCTTTCTTTTTTTTGAATACTCGATACGAAAGCCGGAAAATATTAAACTCAGATCAGGGTATCTTCTATATATATTATATATTTTAGCTCGCACGACTTAAGAGCTAGAGCCTCCAAATTTTGTGCTTAGCTTATCTCCTAGTCGGGCACCCTGAAGAGATTTCTTACTTGTTTTAATACAATTTCATATACCTGAGATAATATTTCTCGATTTGCCGCGCGCCTTGTGGACAAAATGGTTGGCGTTCATAAAGAGAAACGGACGGACGGACAGCAGGACGCATATTGCGCAAAACTATCCTATCCTTTCGCTTCGTGAAAGACAGAGACAGCATTATAGAGTTTGTATGATCGCCATAGGAGATACCCTGAACTCTGTGTAAGCAAATAGAATACAGAAAATAAAACTCAAGACACAATCGGTTTCAATAATAATATAATTGGCTTAAAATCAGTATTTGAAAAAGACTCGTTTTTCCAAATGTCTAAAAACCCTATCCTGTGGCTTGGGGTTGCGCTTCTGGCGGCGGCATCCAGATTGGGGTCATTTCTAAAATCGGGTCTTCGCCGTTTAGATTAGCTTGCACAAACTGGGCTTGTTCGAGGGCTTTGGTTTCTTAAACGCATTTTGCTGCTCAACTGGAAAGTAGGACCTCAAAATCCGTGAAGTCTATCCAAGTACGATTGTAACAACGATCGGCCTATAATGCGTTAGATCCATACGTTTTCCGATTGCCAACATCCGATTCAACATCGTCCACATCCTTGACTCGTTAATCCTTGCTAGTCAGCGAGGTTTTCGCGAGACAACGTGGCCGGTAAAAATGTTGAACCTATCTTGAATGCGCCTGTTCAGACAGACGGGCGTGTTTCCGTAGGTCCCAGCAGCTGTTTTCCAAAAGGTTTGAATTGGCAGCCAGATGAAGAATTCGCTGAGCAACCTGGCATAGCTCAAATAATTGCTTCAACGATTGCATATTCAGTTTTAAAATTTTTATTACGAGACAATTTGAGTGACTGCTGCTTTTAATGATATACTAAGTATGAAACTTCAATGAGTCTAAAAACAAATGAAAGCGACAAGCTAGACACAGCTACTTAAGTTTTCATTCATTTTTTTTAATCATTTTATTATAATTGAATTATTGTCTTATTTATCCGGATTTAAGCAATCGCATTCGCTTGGCGACTTTGGCGGAATAGGATTCTTTTTGCACTCGGAGTAGCTGGGAAAGGGAGCTTTCTTTTTCGAGCACTCCTTGGGCTTGCGTGTGCGCTTACAAGGCGATTTACTATTAGCTTTCGAGTCGCACTTGGGTGGGTTCGTGCCACACGATGCATCACTTCTACATAGTCGGCGAGCCAGCGCGGTTGACCATAAAATCTGCCGACCGGCAGGAAAAATCCGAGCGTGCAGCATTTTGGGGAAATTTTGTTGATGTGTTTCCAAAAAAAAAAAAATAGATTTGAGAATGTCAGCAAAGTTAATTATGAGCATGCGCTCGAGCTCATGCAGCCTACTCTACTAGCCATGAAGAGAAAAATTTTAAATGAATGAATTTCTTTAATAAAAAAGTATAAAATTTGTAAAAAAGCATTTTGGTAATTTATGAAATGTGTGACAAGGCTTGCGCTTCTTCAGGATACGATTTTTAGTACCCTCTATTATCTATGAGAACTGTCTGCTTAAGCTTCTCCGCATACTTTTGCTGGTGGTTTTCCTAAAAGCAGCCGACGACGCAGAGTAGCCCACGCGTCACAGGTGTATACATTACTAATGCAATTACACTCCACTGGCGGCGGTGGTATTGTTGGATCCTTTAGACATTCTGAATAGCTAGGATAAGGCGCTTTGCGCTTTTCACATTTACCCGGGCTGGAGGCTATGGTTTTACATGTGGGTGGCAAGCGACCAGTCTTGCAGCAAACAGACTTGACATATACGCACGCAGTCTTTGGCAGCGCGGTTACCGTCTTAGGTACTAGAGGTCTACGCCCAGACAATGACGGTCGGACGCGACGCTCAATCTTGGGATGCTTTATTTTTTCATAGAGACAAACTTTTTTTGGTTTGATAAGCAAACGCGGACATTCGTTCCAAGTCACCTGGTACTTGCGCTTCTTTTTGTCAGAAATTGAATAATACTTCATGTCGTAACGAAGATCCATAACGCAGGGACTACGTTCGCAGTCTTTTAATGCCCACATTGAAACAAACTTTGGTTTGGCTGAGTACTTCTTGGAAGTGTACGGCTCAGTGGGCTTCAAGCCACATGTATATTCATTTAATACGAGACCACATGTTGACTCAGGTTTCCCATCGTCACATTTACCTGAATAATGACGAACTAAGCGATTTGCCAATGGAAAGGAAGCCAGAAAAGCCACGTTGGTTGAACTCCCCACCCGACATCTCTTAGCAAGTGATAGCATTACCCAAAATCGTAAAACAGGCTCTAACGGATATAAAATTTATTTCAAACTGTGAATTTTGAAAAATAAAAAAAAAAAAACGAAATACTAATTTAATAAGTATCGAAAGGTCTGAAGCAGCAAACACGTATATTATGCCTGATCTGAATGAAAGCCAAAAGCTTAGGAAATATTTTCGGGCAAAGGCTTCTATGATCACAGCAAATCGAACTCCTTTGTAGAATGAATGGGAACGAAGTGCTGACGTCTCCCAAACTGCCCTCAATCTAGGTATTCAATCAAAGAGCCGAGCTGTTCTTACATCACTCATCATCAATGTTTGCGAGACGTGCGGACTTAGCTTTCATACCAAGTGCATTTTACTAAATGCGCAGATCGGCCCAAACCAGCCAGAGAATTTTAGCGGGCGAGACTTAAGTCAAACTGTTCAAGAAGCTCAATTATATTCCTTAAAAATTAAACCAAAATACGTCGAGCTTATTCCTATTTAATCTACTAAATCAAATCCCTACGATACGATGCAGAGAAGTTTTAAAAACAAGTCATTTCTAATTTGTATTTTATTTTTTATTTTGTTAAACTTAAACGTAGAAAAGCAAGTGATTGAATATTTCTGTCATCATTCAGTACTACGTTCTTTGTTACTCTGTCTTTGTCAATACCCTTAGTGTGCAATACTCCGCCGGATTAATTTTGATTGATTTTCTACTGTGGGCTCATGCTTTGGCTGGCAGCTCTTCGATTTCATTTGGGATTTGCTTACATTTTTTGCCTGGAAAAACCGAACTCTTTCAACTCGCCAAAAGGCTTTTCTTCCCTCTGCTTTCTGTAGTCGACGTCTTCAGCCATGAATGCAGGCTTTTCTTCTTTCTGCTTTCTGTAGTCTACGGCTTCGGCCATGAATGCAGGCTTTTCTTCCCTCTGCTTTCTGTAGTCTACGTGTTCGGCCATGAATGCAGGCTTTTCTTCCCTCTGCTTTCTGTAGTCTACGTGTTCGGCCATGAATGCAGGCTTCTCTTCTTTTTGCTTTCGGTATTCTACGTTTTCAGCCATGACTGCAGGCTTCTCTTCTTTTTGCTTTCGGTATTCTACGTCTTCAGCCATGACTGCAGGCTTCTCTTCCTTCTGTTTTCTATAGTCTACGTATTCAGCCATGAATGCAGGCTTCTCTTCCTTCTGCTTTCTGTAGTCTACGTCTTCAACCATGATTATAGGTTTTTCTTCCTTTTGCTTTCTGTAGTCTACGTATTCAGCCATGAATGCAGGCTTTTCTTCCTTCTGCTTTCTGTAGTCCACGTCTTCAGCCATGACTGCAGGCTTCTCTTCCTTCTGTTTTCTATAGTCTACGTATTCAGCCATGAATGCAGGCTTTTCTTCCTTCTGCTTTCTGTAGTCCACGTCTTCAGCCATGACTGCAGGCTTCTCTTCCTTCTGTTTTCTATAGTCTACGTATTCAGCCATGAATGCAGGCTTTTCTTCCTTCTGCTTTCTGTAGTCCACGTCTTCAGCCATGACTGCAGGCTTCTCTTCCTTCTGTTTTCTATAGTCTACGTATTCAGCCATGAATGCAGGCTTTTCTTCCTTCTGCTTTCTGTAGTCCACGTCTTCAGCCATGACTGCAGGCTTCTCTTCCTTCTGTTTTCTATAGTCTACGTATTCAGCCATGAATGCAGGCTTTTCTTCCTTCTGCTTTCTGTAGTCCACGTCTTCAGCCATGACTGCAGGCTTCTCTTCCTTCTGTTTTCTATAGTCTACGTATTCAGCCATGAATGCAGGCTTTTCTTCCTTCTGCTTTCTGTAGTCCACGTCTTCAGCCATGACTGCAGGCTTCTCTTCTTTTTGCTTTCGGTATTCTACGTCTTCAGCCATGACTGCAGGCTTCTCTTCCTTCTGTTTTCTATAGTCTACGTATTCAGCCATGAATGCAGGCTTCTCTTCCTTTTGCTTTCTGTAGTCTACGTCCTCAGCCATGACTGCAGGCTTTTCTTCCTTTTGTTTTCTGCAAACAATTTCGGCCCGTGTATCGTCAGGTTTTTCCTCCTTTTGCTTTCTAAAGGTTACCTTAAGGTCTTGCTGCCTTCTTGGGATACACATTTCTCCACTTATAAAGATGAGCCTGTCTACACTCGGGCTTGTGGACGGTGTGTATGGCTTCTCATCCCTTTGCTTTCGGGGGGAAGCACCATCCCAATCTGATTTGATCTCTTCCCGTCTAACCTCGAGCTTCCGGTAGGTCATGCGCAACTTCTTTGTATCGTCCTTGGGGGTACTGCTTGACTGGTCCACACTCTGAATATTTCTTTTAACAACGTTCTGCCTCAACAAATGACCCGGATAACTGTCGGCCACCGATCCCAGCATTGAGAATCTGGAGGTAGTGGAAAAACGACGACACACTTGGGATACAGTACCAACCCCTTTAGCTACAGACATTTTTTTAAGGATATTAAAAAAAAGACGGTAAAATAAAAATAAAATAAAATAAGAAACTGTAATTTGGAATAATAGCCGGTCGAAAGTTGTATTCACACTGACTAAAATCGTTCAAGCACAACAATACCAGAAATACCCAACAGCAAAGCCTACTCTGATCACAAAACTAAATGCCTATAACAAAATACATAATCTTTGGACAATGTTATTAGACAGTTCTGGCAGGACTCTAGGTTGTCTATGGACTGGTCAATGAACAGGTCGATTGATTGGTCAATGAACTTGTAAATTACTAGTCCACGTCCTGATCAATGGACTGATCACTAAGCGAGGATAAGCCAGGCCAGCTTCTAAGCAATGGCCACGAGGACGAAGACGTCTGATCTTCAGTGGATATATATGCACAAAATACCCGAAATCTTTGAAACTATAAAAACCATTTGTTCAATATGCAAATCATTTATTTATGTAAGTACTACATAAAAGTCTTTAGTCCATGAAAAAATAGTTTTAGTTCTAACTTAATATTTATGTTTTGCCTTTATGTGATCACTTCTTCCTGTCGCAAGGATTCATGCTTACGTTTCCAGTAATAAGCCTTCTATGCAGTACTCGGTGCACCTCACAAATGGGTATGGGGAACTTCACACAACTGCATTCTGTTCTACGCTTAGAGCGCACCTTGGCTCTCGAGCACTCTGAGAATGATGGATATGGTGCCTTGATTTTTCTACAATCAGATGGAGTGCGGCCTATGTCGCACTTAGGTGGATCACGGACAGCCTTGCACCTTGGCAACCTAATCTTTTCGCATTTTAACTCTTCCTCATCCTTTCTCTCGCAAGGGCGTGGCGGGCACGCGGTGTTCGGCTTGTCGCCTTTGCGACGCCGGACAATTGGGGCCGGCTTTGCTTTCTCAAAACAGCACACCTTCTTGGGCATAATCGCCACAGCTGGACACTCAGACCATGTAATCTGATACTTGCGTTTGTTCTTATCAGATTCTTTGTACAAGCACTCATCGAATGTGGGGAAGGAACTACCCTGGCATGCTTCATTACAGCAATCTCGCCGGAATTTAACGAGATCGTAGAAAGGAAATGTTTTGCGTATATCCTTCACGGACCTCGGCTTCGGATGGGTATCTTCGCACTTCCCAGTCTCCTCCTGCTTCTTCTTGTCAAGGGTAAGGCAAGTAGGAGTGGGATCGTGCTTCTTTGAATAATGCTTACGTACTGCAATACTACAGGCTTGTTCCAGCAGGTTACGCACCCCCCTACAACTGCGATTACATATTGACATTTTTAACAGATTTTGAAAACAAAAATAGCCCAAAAATTTCAAAAATTTTTCCAAGGTCCAAAAAGGAAAAATTATTATTAAAATTTATTTGTCGTCGTCGCTGATGCCACTAGACTGACTAATTCTTACACCAAATTCCAGTGGCACAAAATTCATGACATACAGAACACCGCCTACACTTTCGAAACATAATATTATAACATAATACATATTCCAGCTGAGCCACTTTATTCTGATATTGTCTCTTTCATATGATTTTCATTTCATCTTTACATAGATCACTATGCCCATATCAATCAATGCACCTATCAGTTGGGCATGACCGTTATCTAGTACTCTCTGACTGTCCTCTTAGACTACTTAGCTATGTAAATGCAAAACAATAGCAGAGCAGGAAAAAAGAGCAGTGAAATCTCTCTCATCTTGCATGCAAAACATCTGTAGAGCTCCAGCTGCGCATGTGCAAATGCAGCAACAAAAATAAATAAAATAAATATGCTCTAGTCGGGAGTACACGACTAGTGAATGCCTTGACGCCAGCGCCCAACGCTGTCTCAGCAATGAACACGTATACCCGCGCTGCATAGTGTAGAGAGCAAACAGAGATCTTGGACGGAATCAAGGGGAACTGCGTGCCATATTAAATTCGCTTTATAGCAAATTACCAATGCAGATATACTCACACAAATCAGTTATACTCAACATCAATCAGCATATGTGTAGATCGTATATATATATATGCATGCAGGCCGCATTTATTTCGAGTTTGATGTACGAGCGCGTCTACCAAATGCATGTGCATAATCAAGCGAGAGACAATCGAAATGAGTGGAATCACATTTAAGCAGCTGCCAAAAGGCAAAGCTCGACTTCAACATAATTGATGGATGGATGGATGGATGGATGGCTTGGTTGCCTTGGTTAACAGCGCTGCCTTGGCTGCCCTCGCCGGCTACACGACAAAACGTTCTCCCAGCAACACAGCATCCGAACATATATGTATTTCTTTCGCCTACCTGCCTAAATAATGATGTCGCATTATTTATGCCGCTCTTGATTTGCATAGGCATAGTGGGCCGCAGCTCTAGTTGCGCTGCCTGGGCAAAGGCAAACGCAGAAGGCAATGGCAAGCAAACCCAAAGGCAAAGGCAATGCTTTCTTTAATAAATGTTTAATTTATAATTGATTTTCTCTTCGCTCCACATTCATATGCACGTAAACACATGGACAGAACGCCTTAGTCTTGGCTAAGCCCCACAACTTTTACTCAGCCCACAGGGCAACTGAACCGCAAAAGGATTTTGCCCGCGCACGAAAACACTTAATTAATTCGCATAGACAGACAGGATGTGTTCGGCGGCGGCCAGGGCATGCAGCTGGTCGAGGACATAGCCCACCCAGCTGGTCAGACAGCAACGAGCTACAACTTCAACCGCTGCACACACACACACACACATAATTGAAATAATTAGAAATTAGAATGGAAAATGTATGCAAGCCGAGTTGACGATTACAACGCCCTAGAAATGCGACGCCCACACTTCGCATGGCCTAGCGAAGCATATTTAAAGTTTAGCTACGTCGCAACTACTAAATGATTGTAACTTATATATATATATATATATATAATGTGTATATGCATATATATACAAACTTGTCTGTATATAGACTTTGTCCCTTTAAGCCAGCTTGCGATGGCCGTGGAGGCTAAAAGTTGTTGCCAAACCTCATAAGCAGTTTCGATTTACATTGTAGCACTGGCAATTAGAGCTGGCTTTTTGGTGTAAGACGATCGATTTTTCGATTGGTTTAACACTTTACATTCAGTGGGAATTCATATAAATTTTTATTATTTATATTAATAATTTTTATTAATTATTTTATATTTTAATATTGTAAATTTTGAATTGAAAAAACTTCTATATATATTTTTACAGAGCTCTAAATGAATGCTGGTTTAAAGAAATTAATATATATTGATTTTATTTCAACATATATACTATCAATTATATTTTATTAAATATAATATTCTAATATATATATAAAAATATACATTTGTATATGCTTAGCGCAGTTTACTCCTGTTAATGACAGAAAGTCCTTCAATCAAATCAATTAGCAAGACATTTGCTAGCTAATCGTTAGTTTAGAGCTCCCCAATATAGATTCAAATTATAAACTGACATTATCCGTGCATATTCAGCACCAGAAGTAGCTCATTCTAAGCCAACATCGCGCCATTAGATCAGTTTGTCCGCTGTAATTGCTCAATTAATTGAAAGTTCGCTGTATGCGATAAATCTACCCTGCTCAAGCTAATCAGCATATTCGATAACAAAGGGCGCTTCTATTACCATTTGCTGTAAGCAAAGGCAGGACATCGTTAAGGACGTGGGGAAACATTTGCTGCTAATATCCGTTTACGTCTTCAGCTGGAAGAAAATTACAATATTTCGTGTGAGATAGTTTGCCTGACTACACGCCCACGCCTGTCATATAGTTTTCTATGTATATGGCACACATTTATATAGAAATATATATATATACTTAATTTATATACACGGTTGTATATAATAGAGACAGTGGATGAGGGAGGGGTAGAGGGAGGCAGGGAGAGAGACTTTTGTATCTAATTTAAATTTCACAATTTGGTGAGGCAAGAAAAACGCCAAGCGAAAAATGAGCCGGGCCCTCAGCTTAAGCTAATTTTCTCGAGTTGCGTGGTTGTCGGACTGGGCTGGGTTATACGGGCATAGTTTGGGTTCTGCGCCGGATTAAAGCCCAGCAAGTGGACACAGACACGAGGCGAGCAGCAGGGCCAGCAGATTGGGACTTGTGCCTTTGCCTTTGCCGTGCTGCTTAGCCAAATTATATTATGACTTGTTTAAAATTCAAATTTGAAAACACTAAAATCATGTTTTCGATGTCTGGCCGCCGCAGTCCTGCCTGCTGGAAGGGGTCGGCGTGGATAGTTTCGGGCAAGGCAAGGGTTTAAGTAGCAGGGGCAGCAAAGGGGTTGGTTTGGCATCTTTGCCTTTAAATGCGCCCGCCACTCGCAACTTTAGCTGTGTCTGTGTGTTGTCCTAGCCGGCTCAAGGCAATGTCCTTTGCTTCCATATCCTTAGAATGGGTGTGCATGTGCTTATTATATGTACGTAGCCTAAACATCGCCTCCGCTGGCCACATAAATTTTACATAGAGCTCTGTGTGTGTGTCTCTGCCATTTTAATGATTTCATTAGTTGAAGCCGTAGAGCTAGTTGGCAATTAAATAAGGACGTTTAACGATACAAAATTGATTTTCCAATATATCTGCAGGGCAAATTGAATTGAAGAGTTGGCATTATAGAAAAACAATAACTAAACTCATATATGTGCGTAGCATTTGAAGGTGTATCTGGTTTATTATCCATTACATTGTACCTTCACGCACACAGTTGCAATTTCTATGCCAGCTAGCTGTCCTAACCATTTTCGTAACCAAGTCAATTAGGCTCATTTGCAGGCAGACGGAAAGTTTTGCGGGCGAAACTATTGCAGCTGCATGGAAAACTTAAAATTATACTCGCATATATCCTTTACCTATCCTTACAATCTAATTAACTGTCATTGTGTTAAAAAGACGCCAAACTGGCAACCAAAACTCGCTACCCGAACGAACACAATGACAGAGCCGTGGCTCGCGGCCCTTCGTCTGGCTGCTTGCGTGTCAGTCCTGACGGTGGCAGCCCAGCCAAGCCGAGCTGCAGGCTGGCGGCCCCCGCTCAGCGCCTCGGCGGGCACAACAAGTCACGTCATTTGAGGCGCTAATACTAATGCTTTGGCAATAACTAGGGCTACATGCAAGGGCACTTTCGTGCGGCCCACGTGCCGTCAGCCTTCGGAAACTAATCAATAGCGCAAAAATTTTACGTTTAATTAAAAATGTCTGCGTGTGTAAACCGGGCAGGTGGCGGCAGTGGCTCAAGACAGCCAGTGTCTTATTGTTAGGAGTGTTCGATGGATGTGCCGCTGCCTAGGACTATGCAAAATGCCAAGCAGTCGGCGCTAGTTAGCCATAGCCAGAGGGTACGTGGCATTAACCGAACTGTCAGAATGATAATTGCATTGCATAATGCATAATTACGGCTAATAGCAAAGGGGGTAAATAAGGCCACAAACTTTCACTCAATCAACTTTCAGCTAGACTCAATTATATAATGCATTATTAAGCATCAAAGGCGAAAAGAAATATTTATATAATATTTCAATATTCCTTATATGGAATTTCGATTTATATTTATTTGTAAATATTATTATAGAATAAAGTTTGAAATTTCAAAGTGTGCGTATGCTGCTCTGCTGCTGCTGCTGCCTGGGGCAACAAAGATGAGTCCGAATGATGCCGAATGTAATTACAAATCCTTACACACACATGCATGTCTAATAATATGTATGTGTATGTGTGTGTGTGTGTGTGAGTGTGTAACTGCGGCTGCATTTGCCCTGATGTACAAAATGAAGACATTTGGTTGCGGTTTGAGTTTGAGCCTCGTCGGCTATAGATTTTCTTAGGCAAGCCGACACACACACAGAGATAGACACTTCACCTTCTCACTGTTATATAATGCACAGCACATATGTACAAATGTATATATGAATATATATATATAGATGTGTGTACATTTACCTGTGTGCCTGTGCCATCCCCTCAGCCTGATTCGCCTGCCCGCTGGCCATGCGGGGGCATCAATATAAACTGCCTTCAACATTTAATTAGTGTGTTTTCGCATACATAGAAACTGGTTGGTCATGTATACAACGTGGACTATGCAAATGTCGACGCGCACAACTGTACATGCTTATACATACATCGCACACACACATGCTCACATGCTGGTCGCATGCAGAAGACATTGACGTTCAGTTGGTTATGCAAATTCCATGCCAACACCTTTTCGGCCAAAGACCAAGACAAACTTAAGTGGGTGTGCGGCTGTATGTGTGCGTGTGTGGACATGCATACATGCGCATAAGCCCAGACACACACACACACACACACACAAACACAATTGCCTTTTATAATTAATTT